AGGTTAATAAATCTTGGCTTGTCGAGCGGAAAAATAAGTTCGATGATAAAAGTGTTGATTATTGCACTGTGAAATCCAATCCATGTCTAAAGAAATTAAGGAGTTGTTTGATAACGTTTTTAATAAAAGTTTCAGCAGATTTTAATAAAAGTAGATGAAATATGTAATTAAAAAGTTGATAAAAAAATTTGGGTCTCGTAAAATGTATTGTTAACATTAATTTTGACCTTGATCTCACTTACTTTTTAAGCTACCGAATAAGTACTAGATTTGTTGAAAATAAATACTCGCTGGAATATAGTCACGTGCATATGTGACGCATCTTTTAAATTTTACAATTGCAACTCAATTAGCAGGGGCGGACTTATGAAGGGCCGAGCGGGGGCCGCCGCCTCCACTGAAAAAAAAAATTTGTTTTTTTTTTTTTTTGCAGTTTTTAATTGAATGGGTTCTTTTTGTGTTCATGTTGGTTACATTCTATGTTTCCTCAAGTTTTATGTTAGGGGGAAACCAAATAATCGTGCCCTTCTGCCTAAGTAGCATCAGTGCCCTTCTGCCCAAATTTCTTTGTATTTTGTAGTGCCAGTGCCCTTGTGTAAACTCGAACTCTTGTCGTCCCTTACAAACCCGATTTTCATACGATATTAGCTAAAAATGTCATATGAGAGATTGTGACAGTCACAATCAGTTCCTAGTTCAAGATTTCAAATTGGACGAAGATCCAAAATGCATTCACGTAACAAAAAGATAATTGTTGAATTTTTCTTATCAAATGGAACTGACTGCTTGCCTAAAATTCTCTTCACTTGGACAGTAGGTGTCATCTGATCACGACTCTTCTTTTCCAACACAGCTGCCACCAAGACATACTCGTTCGCTTGATGTACACACTTGGGTGTACATCATGCATTACACTCCTCTCACAATGGTGGGGGGCCCACAATTTAAAAAATTGCGGCCCCACTATTCATTGTGAGAGGAGTGTAAATCTTAATGTACACAGGAATGTACATTAAGACTTATTCGGTTCTGCATTTAATTCAACAAAAATACCGTCACTTACAAAATAAAAAGAAACAAAGGAGTCCAAGTTTATAACTTTATCTGGAGTTCAAAATACGCCTAGAAACAAGAGAAAACATATGTAACCCGCAACAGAGAAAACAAACAAAGAAATTAATCAAATATTTACAAAAAGCTTTTCAATGAAAATCCTCAACCATCTGAATTGTAAATATTCTACAGAGAAGTGATGATTTTATAAACAACATTGGTCAGTAGAAAAAACAAAAAGTTTTTGGATGCTACATAAACACGAATAGGAGTGACAGTTGGGATTCAAGTTGGAACGAAATTGGTTTCGGTCTGATTTCTGGAGAAAAAAATGGATTTACTGTTCTACTGTGAAGATTTTGGTGAAATTGAATTTTGATTTGGGTATGTGAGAATTCTTGTCATTTTTAAAGGGAAAATGTTATTTCAGTTTTGGTTATTAGGCCTTGTATGGGAGGGATTAAAATCAGATTAAAATTGAAAATATAGCCGTTATTGTTGACTTTTATTAGATGGGTGAGACTCAATAACGGCCATATTTTCAATTTTAATTGGCTTTTAATCCCTCCCGAACGGGGCCTTAATGTCCGGTTGTCAATATTTATCGTGTTTGTTGCCACGAGAGATTTCCATCCCCACGTTTTTTTTTTGCTCTGGTGGACGGACGGAATTGAAATGGGTGATAGATGGTAACATTTTGTAAGAGTAAGTGAGCATTTAGTAAATTTTTTTTTTTTAGTGAACAAGTAGTAATTAAGTATAAATGTTGATGATGAGTAATTTAATTAACTCGGCTTTTTGAAGAATGAGTGTTAAAAAGAAGAAACAATTTTGAATTTACATTTAATACTATTTTATTAAAAAATGTATGATTAAAAAAAAATGCATTCAAATCGAAGAGGGGGCTAAAATCATAAAATTATGTAAGTCCTTTCATTTACGGATCTTTTTTAGAACTTGTTTGGTAGAGATTAAAATAGGATTAAAATTGAAAAATTAATCGTTTTTATTGACTTTATTAGACGAGTGAGATTCAATAACAACTATATTTCAATTTTAATTGGATTAAAATCACTCTCAAACAATTATTTTTGGGTAATTCCCCTTGTACCGAAAGGGGGGTACCGAATGGTGTCCCCCCTCACATGGGGCGCAGGCCCATGTGTTTTTAAAAAGGGCGGCTCGTGGTCTCACCTCCCAACCTCCTAATTTGAGTGGGATGTGAAGGATTATGTATAAAATTATGTACATTTAGGCTAACCAATTATTTTTACCATTTCACAATTCCAAGAGTTAAACCTCAATTTCCTTCGGTGGATGACATCGTATCATCAACGCGCACAAGTCCCCAGCCAAATCACATTCCCCTTCACTCAGTTCACTGCACAGCCGAAGCTTCGCTCAACCCTCTGTAGACTCAAATATTTTCCAAAATTTGAAAAGATGAGTCTAATGAGCCGGGCTTCGATGAAATCTATCCGTCTGATTCAAATGGCGCATCAAAACCAAGGTCTCGAGGCAACCGTCCGGAGTTCGTCTCGGTTTTTCTCCACCGAAGCTGACGAGGCAAGCGAGGGTCAGAGGCAGGATCCATTTCTTCAAACCCCATCTTCGGGTAATCACCATTTTCTCATAATTTTATTTTTAAAATTTTTTTATACTTATTTGGGTTTCACTGTTTCTTCAGGGTTTAGGGGTTTTGACTATATTAATTAATCATCAATCCCATATCGTATTATAAACATATATAATTGTTTTGTATAATATGTATTGACATGTCTGTGGTTTATAAGCAGATTTGGTTTTAATATTTTCCCTTTTTCCTTTGTAACTAATTCTTGCATCATAGTTTACTTGGCCAAATTGCTGTTGGCTAGTTTTATTAATGCCTCAATTTGTTACTTAGTACTGTAACTACTAATGCTGAGGCTGCTTCCTGAGAGAATGCTTAGATATCAAAGAAAAGAGTATATAAAATTATTGATTTTGTTTTAATGTCTCTGGTTCGAGTTGAGGGGAAAACTTCATACACTAAGTGCATTTTTGGTACACCGCACTCTATAATATAATGATCTTCCGACCAAACATGTAATGAATTTATTAGTTGTGGTCTAATAGACCACCAGATATTATTTTAACAATAATATTTCACTTTCAGAAATGTAAGCATCCAAGAACAAAGTGCTGGTGAGTCAACGGTTGGCTTCTTTTAGTAGTCTCGATTATCAGAGATTTCACCTGAACAAATGGACAACGTATTCAGTTGAGGAACCATTTGTGAAACCCAACAAACAACAGCAAGTTAGCAACAAACCTTGATTTTGTGTGATATATGCATGGCCTCTCAGAGTCGAAACTGGATTTAAAAGATATTTTTTGTCATCAGATCAGAAGTGGAATAGCAGAATATTTCATTTCAAGTATATCACACCATACGCCAATTACTAGCTGTTAGTTTCGAATTTAAGGCCAAATTATACTTAACCGTAAGTTTAGTGACCTAAGTGAAAGACAGGCCGAAGTTCAGGGACCAATATCTAAATTCTGAAATTTCAGATTTCTTGGGTCTGTGAACAGTACCCAAAAATCTGATTAACTTGAAAATAAATTGGTCTTTATTAAGTCATGTGGAAGGAATTAGAGCATCCCCAATAGATTCCATGGATTGCAATCTACGTGGCATTTAAATGGAAAGATGTGGAATTAATGTCTAATTAATAGGCGGGATTCGCTTTCAAGATGTCTTGACACTGAAATGGTAGACACACGAGACACAAATCTCGTGCTAAAGAGCTTAGAGGTTCGAGTCTGGTCTAGTTCAAATTTCATCTCTAATGTATATTTAAAAGGAGAGAGAAAAATAATAAACGCGTTAGAAGGAATAAGAAAAAGGAGAGAGAAAGAGGGAGATATATTCAATTATGGTGACTCACTACGTCTAAAAGAGCCTCTACATCTAGACGGTCCTTTTTACAATGTCTACTTTTTTTTATGTCACGTCAACTAGACATAGGTCTCGACTTGTTGCATTGTTTTGTAATTTTTCAAATATTGTCTATTTTAACTCATGTGACAATCTTTTTAGTGGAATGTGCACCAGTATTGGAAAGATAATTATGTGCTTTTTCAATATAATGGAATATATATATATATATATATATATTTTTTATGAAAGTTACCCTTCCCTCCATGTGAGACTTGACCAAAGTCTGATAAGATTTTACTCTTACCGCATGAGTTAGACCTTGAACTCATAAGGGAATATTATTGTTGGTATAATCAAATGATTTTTTATAACATATATGTTGAGTGCGAACATGGAATAGCGTGGAGGCTTGAAGGAAAAGGAGCTATGTTTAGGACTAAATGCCTAAGGAAATGATTGACATTCCCACTATATGCACACATATCCATGCCAACGCCCCTCTCCCCAACCCACCCATTAGGGAAAAATTGAAAGGAATAAAAATAAATGCCCGGGATCTAAAGCACAATAATGAAGAAACAAGAATTGCTGAAAAAAATCTGGAGTTTTGGGATCATAGAGGGAAATTGAAACTGTGTTTTATGTCCAGAGTTTGTATTTTTTTTTCCGACAAAAAAAAAAAATGTTCTGATAATTTGTGCTCTGATCTCTCTCCCTCTTTTAAATATTTGAAGTGAAATCAGAGCTAATGGAGTTTTACTATTCTAAGTTTTTGAGACTTGTAATTTGTTCTTTTGTCAGGTTTGGTTTATGGGAGACTAAGTGGCATCACAAAGCACACGGCAAAGAGTGATATTGTCAATTTGCTCGAGGGTTGTAACCTGGGTCTGGATGATGTCAAAGTTGAATACAGTCGAAATTATATGCCAACTTCAATGTAAGTTTCTCCTTGTGATGCACTGTCTTTACACATTTATAGAAGTTTGAGCTTTATACTGATTAAATGTGCATCATATTTACTGCAATAGTTTGTGCTCACTTGGCTTTTTAGATGTAATTGTTCTTATTTTTTCACTACAATTTTCCACGTGTCGGACACGGACACGCTATCATAGCTGAAGTGTTCGTGCTACATAGGTTATGCTTTTCTTTTTTTTCTTTAATTCTTTCATTTTAAAGTAACTGGACAGTTCCATCTACAAATGGTTTGCAGCAACTAAACGATTGACGTTATTCCCCCTTCCCCCTTCAAGAGTAAGTTGCTTTACAATAAACCATTAGTTGTCTACTTTTTGAATAACGTTTGATTAGCAAATACATCAAATAATATATTTTTCTCTCATTTGATGGCCCTTTGCAGAATGGTGCAATTCCCCTCTCGAAATGCTTATAATGCTGCTCTTCGGGCAATTAGCAGGAATGGTCGTTTGATTAGATTGGAAAGGGTACAGTGGGTTGCTGTGACAATGTATTTCATGCTTTATATTCCTGCAAAAATTAAGTTTGTTTACATTCTTACATGTTGATGCAAGGCTGACCGAACCCAGTGGGATATTACTGCTCCCTTTGATGGCAAAGCGGTGAGAAGAAATTTAGGATCTGTGATTTTCTCTTTAAGTTATCGATGACTTAATGCATGGCATTATGCTCATCCTGAAATTTAATGTTTTTACATGTTCAAGATGTTGCAAATTTCAATCGCTTTTACATTTATTACAACTCTGTTTATTTTTATTTTTGCATGTGTATTAGTGTTATATATATTGTTGATTAATAGCTATTTTTTGCAGATTTTGCTACAAGGAATTCCTCGCAATGCATTACCCGATGATATTGAGCGCTTCCTTACTGGTTGTCAATATGATGCATCTTCCATGCAGATATTTCTGAGGTTAATGCTGAAAGATTGTTACATCAAAGAGAAAAAATCAAAAAGAGTTGCAGATTTTGTTATTAAAGTTGGCTACATTATTTATTCCGTGACAGAATTTTCTAAGCTATATCTGGTTAATGGTGCAGGCAAACAAACCAAGGACCCATTAGAATGGCAGTTGTGCACTTCCCGTCCCCAGCTTTAGCTACATACGCACAAATTACCAAGAATAGAGGCTTTTGTCTCAACAGTCAAATCTCAGCGCAAGTTCTTCAGTAGCTTTTCTCTTTCTTGTGTTGAAATTCGTGTTTCTCCCCCAAAGTTCTCCTTCGTGGTTGAGCTAGAATGTGGCAAGTATATTATTTAAATGGCTTCTATTTTATGCTTCATTTTGGCTTATTAAACTATTTCCTTTCTGAGTTTGGGGATCAAATTAGAGATATTATTAATTCCAACATTTGAATTAGTCAAACATCTACCTTTCATTGCATTGTTTGTTGGTTATATATATATATATATATAGATTTTTTTTTTTTTTCGGTCACTTTCCGCATCTCTCCATTTTAGTGGTTGCTGGGGAAACCAGGGAGGAGGCGAGGAGCCCTGGAAAAAAGAGAGGCTATTTTCTTCCTCTAATTAAGGATTGAGCTATTTGTACACCTTGATTGACACCTTGATCGATAGATTAATGATGTAGAAGTGTTATAATGGTTGGATTAAATGTGTGAGATGTGAACGATGACGTGAGATTGTGTAGTGTAAATTCGGTAAGTTAGCGTATAAACCAGGATGTACATGTAGCACCATCAAGTCGAAACAGATTCGGGATCCAAATGCACTTGATTCATCGATAAAATCTGATATTCTGGGGTCTTTTCATGGCAATTGGCGTTTGGCAAAGGTCTAATTTTTCTGAATTCGAGTTTTCAGTAACTGAAAAGCACATAGCCTTCTAGAGACTATTCACACATTCGATGAAGTCTGATGCCTCCTTACTATTCTCGTGGAACAGAGAAGTAACTTTTGCGAAAGTAGTAGATTCCAGGTTCCATTTCATGATCATTGGCTCCGCCATTTCTAGAGTCTTGTCCATAACTGACTCAGATAAACTCGGTTGAGATGGTGATAGCCCAAATCGGGAAGGTGAAGGAAAGTGAAATGATGAAAATGATGAAGAAGATGCAGATTTTGGGGAAAAACTGATATTCTTCATCCAATTTTTTGGCATTGATCACAATATCAAAGATTTAACGGAGGGAAGTTGTGATACGTGAGTGAAGGAAACTGGGGTTGGGTTTAGAGGAGAAATGGAAGTGAGTGATATACATAGAATAGAAGCTGGGGAGACATTTTTTTTCAGAAAATAAATAAAAAATTACATAATACATGAATAATAAGTAGGTTGTAAGTCGTGGATCCTACGAAATGCATGATTTAAAAATTTGTTTGACCAGATTAAAAAAAATTAGTGTTTTTCTGTCAGTACTTATAAATTGTGTATTTTAAGAAATGTGTAGATATTGAGCGAAATTAACTGATTTAAACATTGCCAACGTGTTCCTAATCTTTGCCAAACATGCACTCAATCAGAATTTTAATATCGATGCATTCAATAGGACTATATTTTGATATTGCGCATCAACAAATTATTATTTAAATTCCAATTTTTCGTCGGCTGAAATATAAGTACTTGTTATTTAAAGAATAAATATCCCTCAAATATACAATTATTGATATGCCAATTCTTTGTTACGAATTAAGTGTCTGGCATAGCTTGGAGACAACGACCAGAATTTTCCCAGGACAAAGTAGGCTACGTCACTAATTTTTCACAGCACCGTGCAAGACTACATATCAAATCAATATATCAAACCAAATTAACGTACTAAATTTACAACCTGGGAGACCAAACACACGTCACCAAAATTGTGTAAAAGTGCAGCTTATACTTGACACAATCTTACGACATTTTTCAGATCTCACACAGTTAATCCAATCATTATAACACTTTCAAATCATCAATCTGTCAACTAAGACGTCGATCAATGTATACATGTAGTTTAATTAATCTTGCAATATGTACATTCTGATTTACATACTGGTTTATCGAATTTATACTTGGTACAATTTCACGTCATTTTCACATCTCGCACATTTAACCCTCGTTTGGCCCCCATTTTTTTCCCATTACATTACATTAATTTTTTATCTCTTTTCATTTTGACCACACATTCATCAAATAAAATAATATTACACACAAATTTAAAATTTTTCATTACTTTTCTACCACACATTCTCCCATCAATCACTATTCCAAAAATTTTTAACTCCCCAAAATGGGGGCCAAACAGGGGTTTAATTCAACTATTATAACACTTTCACATCATCAATCTGTCAACCAAGATATACAAATA